TACAGCTGCAGACCAGTCGGTGATCCCCTTCTATATTTTGTGTATATTAACTGTATGTTGTAAACACCATTGTAGTGCATGTAAAGTTCAATACATGCAATAATACTTTATACCATTTATATGAAATTGTGTTATATTCAAATATTTGCCCTACCCTACAATCCCGAGGGACCGTGTGTCAGGCGACAACCGCTAGTCAGGAACGTCGGCGCAAACAGTTTTAGTAGGAGCTTGGTGTGTCGATTGTTTATGACAATTTCGTTACATACGTAATAAGGTAAGTAATAATAAGTAAATTCAATACATTTCAATTTTTTAAAACATACATGTTATGTAATATTATGATATTATATACGAGGGGTAATTACAGAAAGTTTGTACACCAGATTACTGATTTAAATGATTATACCTATGATTTCCCATGACTTACTACAAAGATTACCTATGATTACCCATGATTACCCCCAAGGTGTTTACCCCTCGATTATAATATACTAATATTGTATTACCAAGTTTAATTACTTCAATTCATACCTTATACCTGTACTAACCTTTACAGTGGGTTACACGTATTAATTTTTTGCAATATTTCAAACAAATTTCAAAACAAGAAAACTACATTTACATATTATATGTTATAAAATTATAATAAATTGAATTTAAATTCCTCCAAAGGTGTAAAACTATGCTTAAAATATTGTAATATTTGTCAACATTTTTATTATTTCGTTGGCATGCAAAAATGTATTATACATGATTTATATATATTATATTAATAAATTCATAGGTATCATTTATATTCTACTTTTTTAAACTTTATTATAGGCCAACTGTATGCAGCGTTTTCCCGAGTGAGGGACTCTCAATCCATAAAATCCATTAGAGTTGCTATGTACAGTGATGGCCGTGGTAGATTCGTCACTAAGAACATTGTGTACAGAGAAATTCTACAAGCGATATAACTGTACAATGAAGTCTACAAGAACTTAATGAACATCGAATCCGATCTGTGTGACACATGGTTTATAAGCAGTCGTAAGTACGACTCGCGGAGGAGAGAAAGTTGGACAACCTCCGAGAAATGGTTCTCTCTGGATGAGGATTTTGTAATGAATACGTAACTGATGTCGAACATGCATTTAACCTGGCTGCGACTCGCACACTAGATGGTAAATTATTTAGAATTATTTATGTACTCTAAAAATATATCAGCAGATATTTGTATGCATTTGTATTATTTCAGAAACATTATACTAAAAATGACTATCAATGCAGATGTAACAGAAACAGAATCATTGTTGTACTGCTACTAAGGCATAGGGGAAATTCGACAACCTCTACGTGCTTCTCTCTTGATGCGGATTTTGTCATGTATTTGTATCAAATGTCAAACATGCATTTAGACTGACTGCGACTAGCACACTAGGTGGTAAATTATTTAGAATTATTTATGTACTCTAAAAATATATCAGCAGATATTTGTATGCATTTGTATTATTTCAGAAACATTATACTAGAAATGAATATGTCAATGCATAATATCATCAATGCATATGTAACAGAAACACAACAAAAAGATTCATCATTGTATCAATACTGATTACTAATTTGTAACTAAACCATACTCTGTTAATCATAAGAGTTACTACACCTAACACTTAATTATTATTCATTGTTAATTTGTAACTGATGTAGCACATGCATATATATATGTATATATACATTTAAATTATATTATACAATAAAATTACCTGTATAGAAAAGCTTAAGTGTTAATATTGTAAGTTTTGCTCAAATATAGAATGAGACAATTAGTTAGATTATATAAACAAGAAAAAAGTTTATTATTCATAAAATTTATTTATTTATGAATGTTACAAAAAAATAGTTAGAAAAAAAAATATATATATATTATTCATAAAATGTATTTATTTATGAATGTTACAAAAAATCAGTTAGAAAAAATATATAATAATAAATAAATAAAATATGTTAGTTAGGTGTATAAAAATTTTTTTTTTATTAAAAAGCTGAAACAAAAACACAATTTATTATTATTTTAATATAATATTGTAAAACAAGTGTTAATAATAATAATAATTAGTGATGTTACGAACCCTGATTTTTAAGGTCGAACCGAACCGAACCGAACTCTTCTTTAAATTAACGAACTCGAACAGATCCGAACCTACATATTTTTAATCGAACTCGAACCGAACCGAACTTTTCAAAATATTTTATCGAACTCGAACCGAACATTAAAAAAATTCCAAAGGTTAAAAATGTATTATTCATTTATTGTTTACTATTTAGTATTTAGTATTTACTATAATAATATTAGATAAGATATTAATAATAAGCCATAGATATTAAAATTGAAAACAACCAAACAATCTATTTTTGTATCTAGGGTTTTTCATAAGTCATAACCCTGCACCGCCTGGCGTAGTGAAGTTGTATCACGGTGAGCTCGGTGAAAGGCCCGGTATGGGGGTATGCCGCGCCTCGCGCCGCTGCCGGCCTAAACACGCAATAAATATTAAATAATAATAATAATAATTATTAATTACAATAATAATGTTGGATCGTCCGATCGTCGACTTGTTTTTAAATTCTCTGGAGTCTGGATCGATTGTCGAACCGAACTATTAGGTATTTGGTTCGGTTCGACTATTTGCAATTTTGAGTTCGATTTTCGAACCGAACCGAACACCCCGAGTTCGGTTCGGTTCGGTTCGAAAATCGAACAGTTCGTAACATCACTAATAATAATATTCCTTCCAGTATCTGTGTTATTGCTTGGGCCCTTTTCGTTTTTGTCTTCGTCACCGGGGCCACTTTTGACGACGGGGGCCGTTTTTCCCTTTTCCCTTTGGGTTTGGTGCTTGTAATTCAAATTCCAAATAATACATAATAATTCCACATACATGACAATTGGTAAATATAATTAAACATTGTGAACTCACGTGTAGACTTGGGAGTTGGGACAACCGAAACTCTGGAACAGTCCAACTGTCGACTTTGAGCTTTCCCATAACGATATTCGTATTCCGTAGATGGCGAGTATAGGAAGCTGGTCATAAGTGACACCGCGTTTCTGTGTTAACATGTTCGCGGTATATGCGATAATAATCTTTGGAGGGCGCGCGGTGTAATAGTGGAGGGGGGAGGGTGTACGAGGCGACGACCGAGCCGTTGAACGACATCCACGGCACGTAGCGTTTCAACATCCGTGCAAGACAGTTGATCGCTACTTTTTTTTTCATCTTTTTGCACATTTCCCAGTCATTTAACAATTTGCTCTTTTATTTACTTCACTTCTTATTTCATTTTCATCTCTATCCAGTTTATTTTCAGATACATTTTTCTAGGACACTTCGGAGACCGGTGAGTCCAAGTTTTTATACGTATATTTCACAAGTACCCGACGTGTGTAAACAAACTATTTGGTTAGGCATTAGTTTTTGGTTCGATTACATTATGTAATCAACAAACTGTTTTACGTGCCAATGTTTACCGATTACTTAAACTCCACCATGTCTTTATACGCTGTTTATGGTAGTATATAATATACTCTATTACACTCTATCGTTCAAAAGTCTAAATTCACGTATTTTTATCGTAGCGTCTGTATGACTCCGTAATCGGAAAAAAAATCACCAGCTACAATATTACTCACAATCACATGCAAATGGTTGATCAAATATATTTTGAACGTTAATTAGTAACTATAATTAATATTTAATGACAAATACGTATATTCTATTCTATTATATTGTTAAAAAAATTATAAAAAAATTAAAAAAATTATAAAAATATTTAGAATGATCGATACGTCAATTAATAATACAGTTAAAAACATAGTATATAATATACATACAAAAATATTATACAAAATATAGGTACCTATATATTTTATGTTGGTATAATTCTGTAAAAATTGAATCCAATTAATTTCAAAATTGAAATCAATAATTAATTATTGTTTGATAATTATTTTATTATGATTATAGTTATTATTATTATTATTGATATTACCATTTACCATCTATATTTTAAATTTTTTATAATGTTTCTATATACCTACTATGTTTTTAACTGTATTCTTTGACGTATCGATCACTCGAAATATTTTTATACTTTATATATTTGTGTACACTACACCTCACACAACAATCATAAGTATTATTTGAAGTTTTGAAAACGTAATATTTTATTTCAGGGATTTAATTTTTACAGAATTATACCAACATAAAATGTGTATTAATATAGTATAGTAATATAAAATGTTGTTGTTAATTTTTCAAAAATTATTTATAGTTATTTATTTATATTATTTTATTACCTATATTTTGTATAATATTTATGTATACTATGTGTTTAACTGTATTATTTGACGTATCGATCATTCAAAATATTTTTATATACTACACCTATTTGTAACGTTGTTAAGTTAGTTATTTAATTTGAATTAAACATAGTATATGATCATAATTTAAAACAAAATATTATTTATAATATATAATTTTTTTAACAATATAATATACGTATTTTTAATTAAATATTAATTATAAATACTAATTAACGTTTAAAAAATATATTATACAAACACAAATTAGAATTAGACAATAAAAAGAACACAAAAATTAGTACACAGGAACTTTTTTATAGCTTACCACTAGCTTGCCGTCATCCTATAAACCAGTAGTTCTCAACCTTTTTTGATTCATGTCACCTTTAGCCACTAGAATCAAACATCGCGTCACCCTAACTGTGTAATGTAAAAAAAAAAAAAAACTAACATCAAAATAATAAAAAATCTTAGCTGTATATATTAAAATTATTCTTTTATTAAAAAAAAAATACAGCACAGAAAAAAATTAAAGTTATTAAAAAATAATGATTTATATAAATTTAATGTGAAATTTGACCCTGGTGTTTTTTACAAAGTTGGGGAATCCTAGGGTTGATGGTGGAAAGAGCTAGTCTCATATCGTCTTCTATAGTTTTTTTGTTTTTATATTTGTTAGTGCACTAAAGCCATGCTCACATAACCAAGACGTAGAAAACTGAAGGAGCACTTCAATAGCCTTTTTCGATAATCGAGGGTATTCATTGTTAAGAGCCACCCAAAAGCTGTCTAGCGTGACCTCATTAAACTTAACTAGAAGCGTTCGGTCGTTCTTCAATTCCACTGCTTCCTGTTGTACCTCACAGTCATCTGTTTGTATCATGGAAGTAAAAGGGTTCCGAATCCAGTCGTAGTGTTCAACGTTTAAGTCTGGAAAATAATGTTTCATAGATATTTGTAAAGTCTGTAAGTGACTTCGTATGATTTTTAGAACGGTAGGACTGGAGTTTTCCTGGCCCGTAAACAGTGGAAACATAGTTGTATTCCCTTTATCCAAGTTTGCACACCACACGGACATTTTTTCTTGAAAGGCTGAAATTTTGTCGGTGGAAGTTAAAATATTTTCTGATGGTCCTTGCAAACTAGAATTAACCTGGTTAAGATATTGAAAAATATCAGCCAAGTATGCGAATTTTGATATCCAGTCGTGGTCTTCCAAATAACATGTAAATTCATTGTTCTCCTCTTCCATGAAAAACAGCAAAAGTTCCTCTTTCAATTCATGGAGACGTAACAGAACCTTTCCTCTGGATAACCACCTCACTTCGGTATGGTACAACAAATTTGTGAAATCAGCATCCATTGATTCACAAATCTCGGCAAAAATTCTACTTTTTAGGGGCTTTCCTTTAATGTAGTTGACCATACGAACGGAATTACTCAGAACGGAATTGAGTTCACTAACCACGTTTTTGTCATCAGCATTTCTCTGTGAATGAAACAGTGGGTCTTAACGATTAATGGATTTTTTATTTTAGCCAGTGTAACAAATCCCTTGATACTCCCAGTCATACTTGGAGCTCCGTCTGTGCAAATTCCAACACAGTCACTCCACGATATTCCATTATTTTCAAAAAAATAATCGATTGTGTTGAAAATGTCTTAATAAGTAATAACAAAATGTAAAATACACAACGAGCGATAACATTACACAGCGACTGTAGAATACTGACTGATGGCCGGTTAATGTTGAGTCGTTAAGACGTATGTAGCGGTATCGCAGCGTTATCGCACGACAAATTACTTATTACTAGGTACACGTGTTTATCGGACCAAAAGATTAAATATAAATAATACAAACTATTATAAAGATAAGAACTTTGAGGTATGTTATGTACATGACAGTGGTGGTATAGGTGTATAATATATTATGTATTATAAGAAATAATATGATTGTTTTCGAAATTTTATTATTATTATTATAATTTTACTATTCTCGAAAAATTTATTTTTTAAATTTTTTCTTTTCTTGTTAAAATTCTGCGTCACCCCTAAGCTAGATCCACGTCACCCTAAGGTGACATGTCACCCCGGTTGAGAACTACTGCTATAAACAATGTATTTAAAAACATTTATAACTAACATGTATATTACAAATATATTACAATATTATACTCACTCCTACATTCATGGAGGCCATATCGTGGCCCATAGATGAAAGAGCATTCGAGCCACGGTCATGGCCTGAGTGCTGGTGTGAAGTCTGCCCGGCACCATTCCCCAACGACGGGGGGGCCGAGTCCCGCAGCCGCTGTGAGGTCCCGTATCGCCGTCTGGAAGGAGACCAGTCTCGCCGCCGGAGGGGGGACCGATTTCGCCGGCGGGGGGGGGACCGGTCCCTCTGCACTTTTGGTCTCCTGCCTGCATAATAAATAATATTTTAGATGCATTGCCTACGATCACATATATAATATACACAAAATACACTTACAACTTACACTTACACTTACCTATATATATGGTGGCGGCGTCCTTTGAAGTGAGCGGCGCGTGTACAGTCGTCCTTGATATGGACCTCACGACTATGAAAGTGGTATTGTTACTACGGTATTGTGGACTGTATATGATGGTCTACTCAAACAACAACTCGTAGGTAGATTAATGTAAAGTGCCGGGTGACGGCCTACTATTGGTAAAAACAAGAAAATAAATATCGTGACACAAATGTGCCGGCCGGCGTGGGGCTCTTAACAATCTAATTTACAAATATAATATTAACCTAATAAATCAAATAATAATAATAAATTAATAAACCGTGATAGCCGGACGCTGAACGAAGGTGACGAGTGACGGTAATGTTACTGGTGACGGTGACTGGTGATGGTGATTGGTGAAGTGGAGTGACGGTGATTGACGGTAACAGAACAAAGAAAACACAACAAATCGGAACATAAACAAAACCACGGTTCAAGGTAGCAAATTACGCACAGCAACGTATAGCGGCTACGCACGCACAGTCCGGTGGCGGAACATGAACTAAACGTCGTCTGCGGTATAGCTTAGGTACGGTGTGTTCGTTGCGCTATCACCCGCTTACGTAAATGCCTGAACATACCGCCCACCTTGAATGGTCCCACATTCAATCACAACGGTAAAGGGCATAACTTCACCACTGGACGCTTGAGAGTCTTGCCATTAGTTAATTTGACATCAGCTACTCGGACGACATTGTCTTCGCCAGGGTATAGTTTGACAACGCGCGCTGTACTCCATGTGAGTGGTGGTGTAGGTTCCTTAATGATTACCAAGTCATCCACCGCCAGGTTCCTGTCTGGGCGTTGCCACTTCTTTCTCGTTTGCAGATTTTGTAAGTATTCCTTTTGCCATCGCTGCCAGAAGTGAAGTTGAATCTGTTGAACTAGGGTCCAACGTTGACGTAGAGTGTAGGCTAGTGGATGGTCGTGGGTATATGGTTGTGGTATAGAGGCTGGTGGACCCATAGTCAAAAAATGCCCTGCGGTGAGTGGTGCTAAATCGTTAGGATCGCTGGAGAGGGCGCCTAATGGCCTGGAGTTTAGGGTTGCTTCTATTTTGTGGAGGACAGTATTTAGTTCTTCGTACGTAAGGACCTGATCTTGAACTATTCGCCGTAACAACCCCTTGGCCGACTTGACTGCCGCTTCCCAGAGGCCACCCATGTGCGGCGCAGCAGGAGGATTAAAGTGCCAGGTTACTTGATTTGATGAAGCCTAGCGGATGGTCGTAGGTGACTTCAGAATTTCTTGCACTTCCTTTAAATAATGATTAGCTCCTACAAAATTAGTCCCACAGTCAGTGTATATGTCCGTGCAACGTCCTCGTCGTGCGATAAAGCGTTCGAGGGCTGCAATAAATGTGGGCGTCGACAAGTCCGAGGCAAGCTCTATGTGTACGGCTGTAGTCGCCATACATACGAATATGCATATGTACGCCTTGGTGACCCGCAGTCGGCGTAACAGAGCAGCCTTTACGTCGAATGGTCCCGCAAAATCAATACCAACTTTTCCGAATGGTTTGATTTGGCCAAGTCTGTGTGGCGGTAGATCTCCCATGATCGGTTGAGGAGCCCGAGGTAGTACTCTGAAACATGGTATACAACGATGGAGTTGCTTTCGTATTATACTTCTTGCCGATAATACCCAAAAATGCTGTCGTATAATGTTCTGCACGGTTTGTGCGCCTGGGTGACCATTGCTTCTGTGTACCTGGTCAATCAAAAGCGTAGTCATCCGTGCTTCTTTAGGTAATAGAATTGGACAATAAATCTGATGGGAGTTTCACTGTGTCGGACACAGAGAAAGCAGAACTTTTCAAAAATCACCTCTTTAATGTTTTTCAACCTCACCAATATATTTTACCTGTCAACTCTGATACAATTCTCAGTGGTCTTGATATGCCTTTACCTCTATCTTCCCAAATTAAACAATTTTCATCGAGCGATATTAAATTTGCAATCCAAAAGCACACTCTTAGGAAGTCTCCGGGTTTTGACCTAATAACGGCTGAAGTAGCCAGATGCCTTCCTAAACGCGCAACCGTATATCTAACTCATATATATAATGCCGTACTCAGATTGTCTTACTTCCCACTTTTATGGAAGTTCTCCAAAATCATACTTTTCCCTAAACCAAACAAGCCCCCTGACCTGGTAACGTCATATAGACCAATTAGTCTATTACCTTTTTTCGGAAAAGTGCTAGAAAGACTAATACTGAATCGCATACTTCCCATAATTAGTGAAAAAATTTATTACCTAACTATCAATTCGGTTTTCGCGCACATCATTCTACAATCCATCAAGTACACAGGCTAGTTGATTCGATTTCTTTCGCACTTGAAAAAAAAATGTATTGTTCTTGTGTATTTCTTGACATTCAACAGGCCTTTGACCGTGTATGGCATGAAGGGCTGCTGTACAAGGTAAAGTCCTTTTTGCCCCCAACATACTACATGCTACTTAAATCTTATTTAACTGATCGTTATTTTCAAGTTCATTTTAAATCTGCATATTCAAACATTGCTAACGTCAGAGCTGGTGTGCCTCAAGGGGGTATCCTTTCTCCATTACTATATAACTTATATGCTTCTGATCAACCAACATCCGTCAACACCATTGTGGCAGACTATGCAGATGACAAACTCATCATATCTACAAGTGAAAACCCCTTTGTAGCATCGCTTAATCTACAGAATCATCTTTCTCTTATGGAAACCTGGTACAAGAATTGGAGGATTAAGATTAATCAAACCAAATCTAATCACACTACGTTTACCCTTAAGCTAGGACACTGCCCGCCAGTCACTCTCTTTGGTACGCAAATTCCGTCCACTCCGACAGTCAAGTATCTTGGCTTAACCCTTGACCGTAGACTAACATGGGCACAACATACACGTGTTAAAAGACTCCAACTAAATCTCCGACTTCGTATGCTTAAATCTCTACTAGTCAATAACAAACACACCAACCTTAATATAAAACTACTAATGTACAAATCCCTCATTAAACCCATTTGGACCTACGGTATCCAACTGTGGGGAAACGCAAAAAAATCAAATACAAATCGCATTCAGACTTTTCAAAACATAACATTAAGAAAATTAACAAACTCCCCCCCATATGTTTCCAATCATACTCTCCACACAGACCTAAAAATTAAAACTATTAAAGAAGTAGCTGCTATTTATTATAAAAGATTTCATAAAAGGCTTGCAACTCACTCAAATTCTTTAGTCAAAACACTCTCATCAAATGTTATTCCGGGAAATCCTCCTAGGCGACTAAAACGCAACTGGTGCAGAGATATGCTGACTTAATATTATCATAATTTTAAATTAAAAAAAAAAAAAAAAAAAAAAAAAAAAATTAATCAATAAACATATTGTGTGTCTATGAGAAAACCTAATTATAACCTCAATTTTTAAGTGTCATCACTGGGTGGCTGCTTTTATCAAGCTTTTCATGTTATTTTGTTTGTTTATATTTTAGCTAATACTCTTGTTGTACCCTTGAGGTACAGATTGTGTATTTAATATTAATAAAGAAAAAAAAAAAAAAAGAATTGGACATTTTTGATAAAATGGTAAATCTGCACGCTGTAAACGTCCACCCACCCTTATCACGTTGTCGAAATCGAGAAATGGAGCAAGCTTCCGCAGCTTGGATGAACATGATCGGTTGTGGGTCAGATTATTGAGGTCATCGGAAAAATACACTCGTTGTGTCCATCGTACTAATGCCCGTATGGCCTCATCGATCTCAGCGGAAGTGGGCGGTGTTTGACGGTCCGGAATTTCCTTTTTAAGGAGACGCTTACGTACTCGCAGCCAATAGCAAGCCAAACGCGTAATTTTTGTCCAACTGTCCGACTGGTACAATAACGGACATTCGGTCAAGGTTTCGGTCGTAACCAACGTGATTACCTTCGTCTCAAGTTGCTCCTCGCGCGACTCATCGGTTAACATCACTGCTTCTGTGGATGGCCAATAGTCTTCTGACAATCTGAGGAAAGTTGGTCCCATCCACCACTGAACGTGATTGGCGAGTTCTTTTGGCGACAATCCCCTGGACGCACAGTCTGCCGGGTTCTCCTTGGTTGGTACATGTCTCCACAAGTATGACTGGTCGTTCTGTAATGGGATTACGCAATATCATATATTTGCTCATAATAACAACCAGGAATGCGACCACACCCAAAAGTGTTTTCGACTACGAATACCACTTTCATAGTCGTGAGGTCCATATCAAGGACGACTGTACACGCGCCGCTCACTTTCAAAGGACGCCGCCACCATATATATAGGGGACAGCGAGACAGCCTGAGTTAGATGTATCCAGAGACGAGAACACCACACGACTCGCTTAGCCGCCCAGCCATCACACACGACTTACACGGAGATTATCAACTTCGGAACGAACTACGATTCGCTACAATCAACACTATTATTCTGCTTGTTTTGTCTGGTTTAATATAATACATTTGATTACCATTCTAATTGACTATTATTATTTATCAAGTACACCAGCTTTTGGATCCCTGAAGGGCCGCATGTAACACTGGCGCAGTCGAAGGTAGGATTCCACAAAGGGAGGCAACCATCAAAGGCTACTGTCAACAACGAAGAATTGATCACTCTTCAGCGAAGACAACTCCAGGAGGAACCAACAAAAAACAAATAAGTCACATTGCAGTACCAACAAATCCATTAGCAGCATCATCAACGGCAACATGTCATCATCAGCCATAAACGCAGCATTATTGTGAGTGAATAGTTATTTAGATTTGTTACATAGACGTATGCAACATAATTAAGACATATTAAGATAAATCTAGGTAGTTGATTATAAGTGTAATGGTGTAAACCGTTTTAAATTTTATTGAGGGCATATTTTATTGATTATTATTGAATTATTGAGGGCATATTGATTATTTGAAGTTTTATTATTGAGGGCATATTTTTATTGAAGTTATTATTGATTATTATTGAAGTTTATTGATTATTGAGGGCATTTTTATTATTGAAGTATTATTGAAGTTTATTGAATTTATTAGAGGGCATATTATTGAAGTTATTATTGTATTTATAGGGCATTATTGAATTTTATTGAGTATTATTATGATTGTTAACGTATTAAATAGGTGGTTAAGTTAATTTATGGACAAAGAAGATACATCTCCCTTGAACGTAGCTAATTCATTGTATGACACTAGTGTAGTAGAAGAAGCCCAGTTAGAAGCCCAGTTATTAGCCCAGAGAGAAGCCCAAGCCCAGTTTGAAGCCCAGCAGAAAGCCCAGTTAAATACTATAGTAGATACCAAGTTAGTAGGTAGCACAAGTAAAACCCCAAGTCCACAATTAGGAGTAGTCACACGTAGCAAAGTCACAGATAGTTTTGAATATCAGTCGTTAGATTTTATATCTAAATCACGCAATAAAAAAATGGCAGTAACCATAAGATTAGAAGACGCTTTTAAATTAATTCCAGTATGCACAGGGATAGACGATATTTACCAATTCATAAATGCATGTGATATGGCAGTAGGTTTAGTCGATGCAACTAGCGCACCAATATTAGTAAAATATATCACTACGCGATTAACGGGTAGAGCACTAGAAATGATTAAATATAAAAACGTAACAAAATGGCAATTTATAAAAGCATATTTAACAGACGCATTCGAAGTAACAACCAATGCATCGTCGTTACAACTTCAATTAAATTCGATTAGAATGAATCACAATGAGGATGTGAACGATTATTGCCATAGAGTAGAAAAACTATATTATCAATTATGTACCGTAAGCACGTTAAACAAAGAGCCTGCAGAAGCAAAAATTATACATGAAACATTAAGGGACCAAACTCTAGCAGTATTTATTAAAGGATTAGTAGAACCGATTAGAACGATAGTAAAATCTCGTAATGCTAAAACTCTTGAAATCGCGAAACAAATCGCTATGT